TTTTGAATTTTGTGGGTTAGTCTTACTAACTGGATGGGGCGGGTGTGCAAGACCTCATGCAGTTACATAGCTGACACCTGTAGGTGTTCTGTGGACTTTCATCAAGGGTGAGGTATACAGATGAGGTTGGTGACTTCTCTGCCAACTGAAGAGTCTTATGAGATATCATCTGTAGCTGCCATCACAGTAAGCCGGCAGGTCAAATGACTTGAACATTTTCCTGCCCGGTAGGAGGTTCAGACCCCTCTTGGCCCTTTTCAGAGTTCGTGACAAGTGGAAACACCCAGGCCTGGACTCCTCTCTTGTAAGCAGAACTTGGGCAGTTTGGGCTCCTGTCACTGCCCCGGCGGTTCCATTGCTTCTCTTAACCTGGAAATGGTATCCCTGGCAGCGCCTTTGTGGGAAACAGCTAGCAGCTGGGTTCCCTCCCTGCCCAGGACCTGGAAGCTGGAGGGTGTGCCTGTATGGGAAGGGCCCCTCAGGCAGCTTTCCCCCTGTAGTGCCAGGGCCAGGCCAGTGCTGCTTCTCAGTTCTCAGTAGCCTTATCATTCACAGGTGCCTCTAGCCTGCACAATGATTGACAAAAGGTCACCCAAAGGATTTTTTTTGGAGGGTTTTGTTTTTGTTTTGCATTAGAGTTTGTATTAAAGATCTCCGAAGGAAGAAAGGGATACTCCAGCAGTGGTCCCAGGTGCCTGGCCAGCCTGTCAGGGTCCTTTGCCATACGGGTGACAGGGTGTCCTGTTTGGGAAGATGAGATGATGAAGCGAAAGGAAGAGGCTTCTAATGGCTTTGCCACAAACTTGCCTATGGGTGTCAGCCTGGGAGGCTACCACTAATTCCCGTCTCTGTCTCCATGTGCCCCTTGCTGGGCCCCAGCTCCAGATGCCTCTTGGCTTATGGGCGCTTTTTTTGCTCCTCTCCCCTCCCAACTTAGAAGAGCAATTTTTGAGGCCTGCTCTGGTGCCATTTCCTAGCACTCTCTTGGCCAAAAAAATGAGTCCTTGTATTTCACTTCTGCCTGAGCCTCGGAGAGGTATCTGGTAGGTGAATAAGTAGTAAGGACAGACTGATCCCAAGACCAAAACAACTGCAGGGAGTTGTGTTTGCCTTCTCCCCACCCCCCTCACAATGTTCTGTGTCCTTTGTGGCCGCTCTGTGCAGGAGTTCTTGTTGCACACCTGCCAGGGTGTTGGCCAGTTTACACAGCGGCTTTCTGGAGTAACAGTTGGAAGCTGAGGCTCAGCTTGCCTAAGCCAAGTGGACCATATTGGATGAAATTTTGCTTCTTGTATTTCAACTATTGCATTATCTATCCTGCACGTTCCTGTCTTTTGTAACTAGCCCCTGAGCCTCCACATACACACATTCAGATTGAGCTGGATGTATGGTGGATCCCTGTAATCCCAGAACTCAACAGGATGGTGAACTCCCGACCAGTCTGGGCTTAGGAAGCAGGACCTTTTTTCAGTAGACCAAAAGCTAAAAGTCTTAAGGGAGAACATCACGTGCTTATAATGAGAAATGGCAAATTATTACCCCATCCCCATGTTGGACACCTCCATTTCGAGTACTTGCTGCCCTGGTATATTTGTTCACTCAGGGTGCCCAGTAGCTGTGTGAATGTTGAGGCTTTGTGATCTCCAGCTGGAATCTGTTGTCCTGTGGAATTTCTCCCAAGGTTTTTTTTCCCGCCCTTGGAAATCATAGTGTTCTTCCTGATGCAGTAAGGCCTCGTGACCCCTATCCAGGCTGAGATCTGAACTGTTAACCCATGGGGCTTGCTAGGTCGCAGAGGTGTAAGGATAAGGCATCTTCTGCCTCCTTGAAAATGGAAAAGCCTGATGTGGCCCACAGAATTGGCCTGCCTCACTTCAGCTACCTCTTAAAGCCTGTACAGGGGTTGCAGCCATTGGGTCTCTGCTAGGCTAGGAGGCTACAGAGCATCAGTAGAACCTTGGCTAATGTCTCCATCCACTTGTAGGCAACCAGGGCGATGTATAGATGGTAATCATTTCCTTCTCTTCCTCTCCACTGACCAAATTTGTTTTTGTTTTTTGCGACAGGGTTTCTCTGTGTAGCCTTGGCTGTTCTGGACTCTTTGCAGACCAGGCTGGCCTGGAACTCCCAGATCTGCCTGCATCTGCCTCCCTGAGTGCTGGGACTGAAGGCGTGCACCACCTTTCGGCTCTTACTTTTTGTTTTGTTTTCTTTTTCCACTGACCAAATCTTAACCGTCACCATAGCTGCTCTGCTTTCCAAAGTCAGCCCAGGAGCCTGGGCCAGCTGCAGGGAAATGGCCTGTCTGTGAGTGAGGGCCAGTGCCTTCCTCACTTGGGTGAGTCCCATGCACATGACCTCATTTTAGGACCAAGAGCTGTGTTGGTTTCTTAGATTGTTAGCTTTTTTCTAGAGGACCATAGTGGGTGCAGCTTAGAGCCCAGGCCCTTGGCTTACTCGCCAACAGTGATATTTAGGTCCTTGTCCAGTTGAGAGCTTTGTGTACACCATGTCAGCAGCCCTTTTGTCTTTGTTTTCCATGAGGCTTCTGGACCATGGGCAGAGCTCAGGCACTTTGTGTAAGAATGTTTTCCTGTAAAGATGGGTTATTTAACCCTCCCCATCATGTTACTCCTAGGGAGGCCAGTGGAGCCCAGGTGTCTGCAGGAAGGCCGAGGCCTCCTGGCAGCTGCTCCAGCCCTCCCACTTCAATAGCAGGGTGGATTGCTGGGCATCTGACTACCCCTCTTGACCAGTGGGGTAGGAGGGCAGCCTCTGTCCCCATAATTGCTTTCCTTTGCCACCCACACTTGTTTAAGGTTGTGCTGACAGCTTTCCCCCTTCCTTTCTCCCCTTACCAGTCTACTTTTGGTATATTCACAAAAGCCAGGGACTTGATATTGATGTATTTTACAACACATTAAATAGTCTGTTGCCTTACTTGTATCTCTGCTAATCAGATCATTTGGTATTTCTGGATCCTAGTCCTCTCCATTGTTATAAACTTGTATGGATCTTCAAAGTGGCCATGGCAGTATCCTGGCATCCAGCATCTTTCAGACTGTCCTGCCTGAGCTGTGTTTGCTCTTGCCATAGAACATCAAAGACTTGAGACTTTTTTTAAATTTCAGTAAGGTGTGGTACACACCCATAATCCCAGCAGTGAAAGGCTGAGGCATTATTGCTCTTGAGTTCAAGGCTACCTTGGGCTACATCAGCTAGAGTTATATACTGAAACCCTTCTCAAGGGCGAGGAGCATCCCCTTAGTCCCAATACAGGAGGATGTCTATTTGAGGCTAGCCTGATGGGCTTAGAGTGTTCCAGACTAGCAAGTGCCGAAGTGAGATCCTGTCTTAAAGACAGGGTGGGAATGCTGTGGAGGGGAGCTGCGAGGTGCCTCACCAGGTGAAGCCGCTCCCCCACATGGTGGGGAGAATGCACTCCAAGCTGTCTTTTGCCCCGTAAGTGAGCACATCTTGGCACAGCCACATATGTGCATACAGTGAATAAAAACTTCTAAGTGACTAGTGAGAGGGAAGATACTTTTAAGACAGGAGAGGCCCTAAAAAGGACAGACAAATTTAATTCATTTAATAATTAGTTGCACTTGGCATGGTTGAACATGCCTTTAATCCCAGAAGAAAAGAGGCAGGCAGATAAGGGACAGGACAGCTTGGTCTCCATACTAAGTTTCAGCCTACCCGGGGCTAAAGAGGCCTTAATCTCAAAAAAAAAAAAAACAAAAAACCAGTCTGCCTATAAATTTTGCAGGGTGCTCAGGAAGGTGAGGGAGCTTCATTCCTAGAGCTTAAGTGTCAATTTATGAGTTTTGAGCAGCCCTAGAGAGCAGGAAGGACCCGTTGAAGGAAGGTGTTCAAGCAGAGCCGAGTAAAGGGATCTGTGCTATTGGTCCTCCGTGGGAATAAACGAGGACTCTGCTTTCCTGTAGGAGTGAACCTACCAGCTGCCAGCTCCCTGGCCCAGGAGGGCCTTACCCTGGCTTCTGGCCAGAGGTGATAGAGTGATAAAATTCCATGTACACAGCACGCCACATTGTTTCCAAAGATCTTCCAGAAGGTGGGAACAACAGAGGTGGTCCTCTGCCGTTGATGAAGAGTCTGGAATGCTCCAGCAGCCCTTGTAAGAGAAGAGGGGCATACCCATTGTCGTGTCCCATCCCCCCGTCCCCCCCTCCCCCCCGCTTTCTGGAGCCGAATGGGTGTTAGCACCTGGGAAAGATTCTCTGGGTCCCCCAACAGCCAGGGGCACAGGTCAGGGAAGCCTGCTGTTGAGCTCAGGGAAAAGGGGATGTTGTTGCCTGGGTCTTAATTTTAGCTGCTGGGCAGCCTGGCTAAGGGCACTACTCCTGTGGCATCAGGTGCTGCTAGGACTGAGCTAGGATCCTCTGCCAGGTCTTTAAATAGCTGCCTCATTGATCAGACCTGCCTCCTGGCCGGCACCACAACCAACAGCTTCCTTTGGGAGCTCACATGTCGTCCCTCCTGCCAGGTTGCCAGGTCTCCTGTTTGCTCTGGTGGGAAGTGGTCCTGTCAGTTCACCAGTGCTCACAGGCTAGGAATATCTGAATGTGATGGGACAGTGATATGCTCAGAAATGAGTGACAATTGGTTATTCTCAGTAAAATCGGGTTAACAATTATGTCTCAAGATTATAAGGATTAAAATGTACATAAAAGGCTTAACAGGGCACTTGGGTACAAGACTGATTCTTCTGGCGGCTGCTGCTTATTTTTATATATTGCCTATACCCACACATTTCCCATCACCGCCTCCTGCACAAAAAGCCACCACCATTTTGTAAGGGATTCCCTCCAAACATGACAAGAAAAGGGAAGTATTTTAAATCCATATTCCGGAACTAACAGAGTTCCCTTAGTTCAGGTGGGAGGCGGGGTAAGAGGAACTGTTGAGTCAACATGAGGGCTTTCCTGCTCAGCTCCCTGACTCCAAAGAGGGCTACTTTCTCTTTAAATGCAAATCAACTCCAGCCAGCTTAGCTCCCACCAGCTCTGGTTCCCGGGAGGAGAGAGAAAACAGGGTGGAGGGAGATTACAAAGAAGCACCATTCCACACCCCAGACCCCAAACACCCAGGTCAGTGGCTCCCCGGAGGGACGTGGGAAGGTAGTGACAAAGGAGGGGCCGGGGTAACGCACCTGATGCTCGTTTTCTGAAGCCGGAATTCAAAACTGAGTAATTGCCGACACGGCTTCCCAGGCTGCGCACGGACAGCTGCTCAGGCCGCTGCATCCATCAGGTCACATTACTGGGTCACACTGCTGCATGGAGGGACTGGTCTCCCACCCCACCCCACCCCAGCCCCATTTACGCCACCAAGCTGACACACGGGGCCTTAAACGCTCATGTCCCTCTTTCCCCATCGTCATCCCAGAAACGAAGTACCCAGTCTGGTTAACGGTTTGGACTGAGAGGCCCTGGAGAGGACATGCCTGGGAGTCAGGCTGAGCTGTGTGGGCCACAGGTACACACATCGGTGGAGGTCTAGCCCTAGAGACTTTCTAACTGGAAACAAAAGACTAGAAGCGGTTCCGGGGAGTTTCTAGGCATCCCTGGCATGTGTAGTTGAAGTGAGGTGGAAGAGAAAAGCCAGTATGTGAGCGATGAGCCAGCCTTCCTGGTCCATGTGGCTTGCAGGGTGACACTAGGGCATTTCCAGGTGTCCCTACCATACCTTGGCTGCAGCTCACGCAGTGTTGATCAGTATCCGCCACACACGAAGTGGGGCCTAGTTAAGGCACTGCTGATCCTCAGCTGGCTCTCCCAGTCATATCCACCTGAGTGTCTTCCTTTCCTGGGCTCGTGGGCTGCAGTGACAGGAAAACAGCAACATGACCCTGGTCCACTCCAGCCCTCTCAGGCAGGCCCGTGGGGCTTTCAGGAAGAAAGGGGCTCTGAGCAGCCTTGGAGGGCCCTTCAGATGCATAGCAACAGCCCGGCATCAGGCTGGCATCTGGCCCTGCACAGACGAGGGGCAGAGCTCCTGACTGCTGGACGAGGACAAATTGGACGACAAGAAGTCAGTTCTCAGGGGTTGCTGAGTGAATGGGGTGATGTTGCCCGCTCTGTATCTTCCTTCCCAGGCCTGAGGTCCAACAAGCACCCAATGGACGACAAAAAGAAGAAGCGGAGTCCTAAGCCCTGCCTGACCCAACCAGCACAGGCCTCGGGCACACTGCGCAGAGTTCCTGTGCCCACCAGCCACAGCGGTTCCTTGGCTCTGGGACTCCCTCATCTGCCATCGCCCAAGCAACGAGCCAAGTTCAAAAGGTGAGCAGGGAAGGGGTGCCTGGCAAGAACAGAGACCCCTGGCCGAGGGCTGAGCACTGTGGAGAGGAGAGCCTTTAGGCACTAGCAGCTAAGCCGTGGCTGATGCTTCCTTCTCTGCACCGGCTCAGCATTCACCTGTGATGGAGACACAGCGCTTGCCCTCAGATGCACAGAACCCGGGGGGGGGGGGGTCACTGCTACCACACAGAGTGGGGCTGCACCTCTGAGGAGGAGGTGAATGAATGTGAGAGAGGCGGGTGCTAGACACTGGAGAGGGAAGCCTATTCGAGGCCAAAAAGCTTGCAAGCCATGAAAACAAAGATACTGACCGGAAGGCTCCAGGAGCCTAGGGAATAAACACCTGCTGGGGGAATGAGTTCTTCCTCTTTATTTCCGTTCACTTTAGCGGTGCTGGGGCTGAACCTAAGACAGTGGGCACTCTCAGCGAGTGCTCAACCGCTGGGCCACCTCCCTAGCCCATTTCAGTGCTTCCTCTGGGAATCTGTCTGGAAGTGGCAGCATGGGAATATAATCCCAGTACTTGGATGGCCGAGGCAGGATCAGAAGTTCAAAGATCATTAGCTGTGAAGAGAGTTTGAGCTAGTCTGGGCTACAAGAGACACTGCCTCAAAAAAAAAAAAAAAAAAAAAAATTTTTTTTTTCAATGTTGTTAAGAATTTTGGTGGCCAGGTATGGTGGTAAGTCCCCTTAATCCTGGCATCGGGTGGCAGAGACAGTGGATCCCTGTGAGGCCAGCTTGGTCTACACATTGAGTTCCAGGCCAGCCAAAGCTGCATAGTTAGACCCTGTCTCAAAATGACAAAACAAAAAATAATTTGGATCCTACCCTATATATCTACATTTGTTCTCATAAATACAATGTGTTCTTTTCCCTAGTGCCCTAAGTAACGCCAGTGTCCCCTATGGAACATCATAACATCTGCCTGGCAAGCATGTACCAGTATGGCCATAGTAGGCTACATCTGAAGCCTGGGGCTGCTTGAGAGTAGCAGAAGGGCACTTGGAGAGAAAGGAAGGCCGGGCTGGCCAGAGTGTTCAGATGGAATGTGTTACCCTGCTGTAGCCAGAGCCACACCTGCAAGGAGATGGAAAATTCAGAACAGTTCCTGGAACAAGGGCAGGAAGATTTGGGGAGTGGGAGGTGCTTCATTGGCAGTAAAGGAAGACATTTGCTAAAAGCCAAGGCCAAGTGACCTGGCCAGATCCACAGGGGTACATGGGCTGTCCTTGCAGGCATGGCTCTGGCTGCAACATTCCTGGAAACAGACTTCTTTCCGTCCCCTTCCTTCCTTCCTTCCTTCCTTCCTTCCTTCCTTCCTTCCTTCCTTCCTTCCTTCCTTCCTTCCTTCCTTCCTTCCTTCCTTTCACTAGCTCTTTTCCCTCTACCCATCCCACTGCTCAGGCCAGGACCTGAAAACAAACATCCAGTCCCTGTTGCTGAGTGGGTAGGGCAGATAAGTAGCACAGAAGGAGATGGCACAGCTGATCCCCCGTGTGCCTGGCTGTTCCCCACACCCAAATGGCTCTGTCCACTTCAACCAGAATAGGCAAGGAGAAATGCCGACCAGTTCTGGCTGGAGGTGGGGTCAGCTCCGCAGGCACGCCCCTGCAACATTCCTTCCTGACGGAGGTGACAGACGTCTACGAGATGGAGGGTGGACTGCTGAACCTGCTCAATGATTTTCATTCAGGCCGACTGCAAGCCTTCGGTAAGGCCAGGGACAGGGTAGTTCTGTGGGTGGGGAGAGGGGCGGGGTGGGGGTGGAGGGAGGCTGGGGCTTCCGGCATGCCGGGGCTAGGGTCCCAGGCTGGCTCCTAAACTCAGGAGTTGTCCAGGGAAGGAATGCTCCTTTGAGCAGCTGGAGCACGTGCGGGAGATGCAGGAGAAGCTGGCCAGACTGCACTTCAGCCTGGACGTGTGTGGGGAGGAGGAGGACGAGGACGAGGAAGACGATGGGGTAGCCGAGGGCTTGCCTGAGGAGCAGAAGAAGACGATGGCTGACCGCAACCTGGACCAGCTGCTTAGCAATGTGAGTTCTGGATCCTGGGGACGTCAGGGGTGGAGAGGGCACAGGCTCCCAAATCTCTCAGTGAAAAGTTGGGGGTGCATGAACCCAAGGGCCGCAGGCCCCTCAAGCTCCACTAGACTTTTGGGCATCCCCAGAGCACCCAGGTTTCTTCTGGAACCCCTGAGGTAAACCTCCTTTTCCCTCTGTTGACAGCTAGAAGATCTTAGCAATTCCATGTATCCTTCCCAAGGGGCTTGATGGGAATTCACGTGTCTCTCAGGTGAGGAAGAAACGAGGAATGGGAAATCTTCCCGCCCCACTCCGGGTGTGTTCACACGTAACAAACATTCCATCTCCTGCAGTCCTGCTGACTCAGAATTAGCCACAGACCGCCCCCACCTCAGAAGAGGAATGTGGAATTTCCCGAGTCCTAAGAGAAAAGTGCGTCAGGTGTGGTGGCCCAAAACTTTAACCCCAGTACCCAAAAGGCAGAGGCAAACAAACGGATCCGTTGCGTTTGAGGCCATCCAGATCTGCACAGTGAGTTCTAGGATAGGCAGGATTTAACCCGACGGAAACAGGGCCACAAACGGCTGGGTGGAGGAGAGAAAAGTGCTTGCGGGGAGTATGGTTTACACACTGATACAGTATCTTTTGGGGAGGGTTGTTTTGAGACAGAGTCACACAGTGTAAGCTGACACCAGCACAAGGCTTGTCTGATGTTCTCCTACCCTTTACACACACACACACTCTCTGGGGTCTGAAGAGTCACAGTCCTTGACTGGCACAGACAGAAGTTGCACTTGGCAGAGAACGCTGAGCCTGAGGAGCAGCCAGCGGCGTAGGTGTCGCCCAGACTGCTGCTCTTCTTCCCTTCAAACTGTGACTTTTTACGGATTCGGGAGGGCATCCCGCAGCCTCCCAGGTGCTATGGGGTCGGGGCGCTTGTTGAAATTAAACAAACGGAAAAGCGTCTCCTCAGTGTTCTCCTTGTTCTCACTGCGCCGTACTCAAGTTTGGGGGGAAAAAAGCTGGGTCTGGACCGGGGTGCCTGGGCAGGTCGGAAGGAAGGAGCCTGGCACGTGACACTGCAAGCGGCGGGCGGGGCCGTGCGTTTGCGCTTGCGCGGGAGCGGCGCCGCCGGAAGACTCGGAAGACTCGCCGCGCAAGCGCACGCTGTCGGGCGCCGCCCAGAACGGGGCGGTTGGTGACGAGATGGAGCCTGAGGTCTTCCTTGGACGAGTGTCTGCATTGCAGGTCAGGACGGCGGCGCTGCGAGTGCACCTGGGCTCAGGGGCCCTGACCTCCCAGCGAGGTGCAGCTGCCACGTAATGACCCTTACCCGCGCGTCCTCTGCACTGCACTGAAGAAAGCCGAGCTGGGGAGTGCTTAGAAGGACCTTAAATCTCGAATCAGGGTCCAGCCCAGCGTCTTCTCCTCACCTCCCAGAGCTCCGAAACATAGTCGCCCAACCCTTCCCCACCCCAGAACCGTGTTCCCTCCGGGATGGCCTGTCCAGGAACATCAAAGCTCGCTCTCCCTTTTGAGCTACTGCTGTGTGTTGCCCTGGGCTTGACTCTCCAGCTGCTAATAGCCACAGAATCGAACGTGCTTGCCAAGATAACCCTTTCCTAAAAATGTTCAGAGGCACCTTCCCCGTTTGTTCTCCACTTTAGGCCGGCATCCGGGGCTTTCTGGTCCGACGTCAGTTCCAGAGCCTTCGAGCTGAGTATGAGGCAATTGTACGGGAGATTGAGGGTGACCTCGGCTCGCTTCACTGGACTGGGGGCTGGATTCCCAAGCCGATATTTCTCCCAGAGGTAGTACACATCCGGGGGGGGGGGTAGCAAAACTGGTACAGGGTTCTAGGGAATGGTGGAGTCCCCCCTCTTTGAAGATTTATTTTATGTGTGTGGGTGTTTTGCCTGCTGTTTGTACACCATGTGTGTGCCTGGTGCCCCGGACTTTGGAAGGGGATGTTAGACCCTCTGCAACTAGAGTTACAGACAGCTGTGAGCCACCGTATGGGTGCTGGGAACTAAACCTCGGCCCTCTGAAAGAGCATATTTTCTTCAGTACTGAGACATGTCTCCAGCGAGCTCCAAAAGTCTTTAGAGACACACACAGCCTCACTAGATAGCCCTGGCTTGCTTGGAACTTGATACATAGCCCAAGCTGGCCTTGAACTCAACAGATTTTCCTGCCTCATCCTTCCCACATGCTGGGATTAAGGATGTGTGTGCTACCAGCCAGGCTGGAGCCTGTTCTTCCTGCCAAAAGCCTCAGTAGGCATTGAATTCACCTCCTCACAGGCTAATACTTAATCCGACCCACGTGCCCATGCCCACTAGACTATGGTTTCCAGACATGGGTGGGGGAGCTGCCATTTTCATACCTCTCTGATTTTTCACAAGGCAAAATCTCATTGCTCCTGGAAAGCAGAGAAAATACCAAACCCAGAGCAGAAAGTATGGAGCCATTTCCCATGTAAGGACTCTGAAAAAGAGGTCATCCGGGAAAAGATGGTGCTGAAGAAGTCAGAAGAGAGCCCAGCAGAACCAGAATGTCTTTGCAGAGATGACAGCCCCTGGCTTCAGGCTGAGCAGGGCAGGAAAGCCAGCCAGGGGGATACCTCCATCTCCAAGGTGGAAAACGAAGGTACTTCTCTGCCTAGATCAGGGCAAGCCTGGACCTTCTCTGGTCTGGGTCTCAGCCTCCCATCTGAAACATGAAAGAATGTGCAAGATAAGTTGCAGCCCTCCCCCACCTCCTTCCCTTAGCCTGATGAGAATACAGTGAAGGGTTGCCAGAATCTAAGGCTAGACTAGTTCCCAGTGTCTGCCCTTCAAGGCACTCTCCTTCCTTTCCTCCTCTCTTGACGTCACAGATCTAGGATTATCCCAGAGCCAACAGGAGCTCCAAGACCAGCGCAACCACTTGGCAATGGAACTGCTATGGCTACAACAGGCCATCAACAGCAGAAAGGAGGTAGGCACTGAGAGCCCTTTCTGTGTGTCAGGGGTATGGGGTGGAGGGGCCTTCTGCCATGCCTGTGCAAGCCTGCTTCTGTTTTTTCCTAACAGTACCTAATTCTCAAGCAAACACTGAGATCCTCAGAAGCAAGCCAGACTACAGACAAGCCTAGTAACATGTGCCTGAAGCCCAGGGGACAGGCCTGTGAGAAGACCTGGTTGCAATCAAGCAGCCTTCTGGAGGACCATTCCTATAGAGACAGAGCCATAGGAGAGCCACCTCGTGCAGATGACTCCTGCCACACGGGCAGATCGAAGCCCCAGAAATCCCCAGACAGTATAGCCAGGGCAGGCAAAGCCACTGCTGGGGCTAAGGGCAGGGAACTCTGCTATAGGAAGACTGGACCACAGCTGCCTGCAGCATTAGAGAACCAGGCTAGCTCTCTAGGACCTCATAGGACAGCCCTTTAATGACACCTGCCTACAGCAGTTGAAACTCCTAGAGGATCAGACCTATGGGGACCCCAAACCTAGGAGTCCTGGAAAGTCTTCGATACAACTGCCCACACTCTGTGACAAAGCCAAGCTACAAAGAGGCTGACTGCCAAAGAGCCAGGCCATACAGTTTGAGTATCTCAGAAGATTACATGATTGGGGATGGGATGCTGGCAGGGCAGGAGCGTGGTAGCCTGGGTCTCAGAAGGACTAAACCACCCAGGGCCCAAACCCCGTGCTAGCAGTTCCAGTCAGGGGACTACCAGCGAGCTTAGTCAGGAAGGACGGGAAAACCAGAGGACTCTGCTGTGGACATGAAGACCGCTGGAGAGCTGGGCTTCTGTGAGAGAGGACCAGTGGAGGGGCTGATCACACGGAACCAAGAATCTCAGGCAAGCCCGGGACATCCAGGACAGGAAGGGTTCTCAAAGGGGATGCTATGAAAAGATGATAAGGGAAGCAGGCCCTTGTCCTGCCTCTCTGGTACCTCCTATATCTCCTGCCCTTGGCCCTGGCCACTGGTGGCTGTGAGGCTAAGAGAAGCTGCAGGATTAGGCTGATACAGTAGGAGAAAAATGAAGGATGTGCCCTTTTATCCTCTGTTGGTGACTTAAGCCAGATTTCACCTTTCCTTGGGCTAAGCAGGGTAGGAGGATTGTGGAGAATAAAAGTTTCTTGGGTTCTGAACCTGTCTGCTTTTATCTCCTGCCTCTGAGCAAGGCAGGTTCTGGGCTATCTGGTTCACCCCCTCCCCCCCCCCCCCCCAACTGACATAGAGCATCATCCCCAGAGTCGGCTAGCAGCCAAGGCCAAGGAAGTTAGCCATCCCCCTTGGGGAAGAGCCCCCGGGCTGATCGCCCTCAGCCTCGGTTCTTCAGAGGAGCCAGGCCCTGGCAAAGACTGGACATCCGTGTGGGGATCTGTTTTCCTTCTCATTGAGCCCCAGGTCTTCCTTTTGTAACGTGACTAGCCAGAGCTGGAAAGCCACGCTCTATGCTAGCATTTGCCTCACACATCGGTGCCAGGGTTTGATCCCAACTCTGCAAAACAAAAGGACAAAGCCATCATAGCTATCCTGCTCTTGGGAGGCCCATCAAAGGAAGATCTGAGGCTCTGAGGCTGGCAAATGTTCCTGTCCAAGGTGCTTGAAGCATTCCTGGGCGAGAGGGCAGTACTCCACCTTTGGCACAGCTCCCAGCCTTGGCTTAGTTGCTTAGCAACAGCTCTGAGTCTGTGTGTGAGGACATACTATGGCAGCCAAGAGGGTGCTGGTATATCGAAATGGGGACCCCTTCTTCCCAGGCCACCAGCTGGTGGTGACCTCACGGCGCTACCCCACCATGGACGCTTTCCTATATGAGGTGACGTCAGCCGTGCAGGCCCCACTGGCTGTACGTACCCTCTACACACTGAGCGATGGCCACCCTGTCACTGACCTGGCTGACCTACAGAACGGAGGGCAGTACGTGGCTGCTGGCTTCGAACGCTTCCACAAGCTCCAGTGAGTGGGCTGGGGCAGGCCAAAGTGCCTGTGGAGGGTGGTGGGTCGACAGGGCCTCCAGTACTCGCCTCCAAGCCAGCAGGCTTATTTTCCCAAAGCCTGGGAGAGGGCAGGGCCACACTGACACACTACCCTAAGGTACATGAACATGCATTCTGTTACAAAGATATGTCCACCACGACCAGGACCAGCCTGTGGGGACAGTCCTGCAAGTTGAATGTTTTTCTGATGTCTGTTTTCTGTTTAGAGTTACTTTTTTTTTTTTTTTTTTTTTATTTTGAAATCGGGCATAGTGGTTCGCGCCTTTAATGGTATCATTTTTTAGGTAGAGGAAGGTGGATATATGTGAGTTGAAGGCCAGCCTGGTCTACAGAGTGAGTTCCAGGACAGACAGGGCTACACAGAGAAACCCTGTCTCGTTTAAAAGTAAATTGTTTTGAGACAGTTTTTCTGGTTGTCCTGGATCTCACTCTGTAGACTAGGCTGGCCTCCAACTCCCTGCCTCTACCTCCCAGAGTGCTGAATCAACTCACCCTCTGGAAGAGCAAGTGTTCTGAGTAGCTCTCTCTCCAGCCCTTTTAATTGTGTGTGTGTGTGTGTGTGTGTGTGTGTGTGTGCTTACATGTGTCATGGTTTGTGTGCATAGGTCAGGGGACAAATTGCCAGAGTCAGTTTTTTCCTTCCTCCATGTAGGCTCAAAAGTGGGTTGGTCGGGCTTGTCAGCAAAATGCCTCTTTGTCTCTCAAGCCCTGAGAGCTACTGGTTAAATCCCTATTGCCTCCATCCATGGCCAAACACTAAATCTGCCCACCACTCCCCCTCCTGTGCTTAAGCATCTGAAACTCCTGTCAGGCTAGGGCCGTCTCTTTCTGCAAGACGAGACTGTCTTCCAAAGTGGAAGACAAATGAGATCAGAGCTTCCAACTCAGACCTAGCTTCCAAGCCCTGCTCTGAGCAGTCAGTGGGGTAGTTTACCATGGGGGCAGGAAAGAGGTATCTGGACTTAAGTCACTTCCTGTGTGATTTTAAACAAGCCACTTCTTTGACTATCCCACAAAATGGAAAATCACCTCTGGCCAGGTGATGGCCTCCAGCAGTGTGGTTTGCCTAAAAGCTCCGGGACTGATAGCGTGACTTGGTGCTCAGGGATCTGAAGGCAGGTTCAGATACGTCCCTGGCTCAAAAAGACAGGAGAGATGAGGAGAGATGCGTGGGGTGCTGGGCAGCCATTGCTTGGTGACCTCCTCCCACAGAGGACAATGCCAGCCTAAGGGAGAGTTTGAGATGCTTAGCTACAGCAGAGGGAAAGTATGAACAGATGGGGGGTGGGCGTGGGCGTGGGCGTGGGCGTGGGAGATCAAATGAAAGCTTTTGGAGCCAGGCTGGTAACTGCTGTAGACCCATAATCCTAGCACATGGAATATGGAGTTGGAGGGTCAGAAGCTGAAAGTCGTTTTCCATTACGCCCTGAGTGGAGGCTAGCCTGGACTGTTTGAGAAATTCCGTCTTCCCATCTCCATCTCACTTTGTTCCCCTGCCTGGCCTGGATCTCACTAGGTAGATTAGGTTGACCTCTGAGTTTGGGGCCAGCCTGGTCTACAGGAGAGCCAAGGCTACAAAGAGAAACCCTGTCTCAAAAATAAATAACTAAATATAAAAGTGTACAGCACCAACACTCAGCCGGAGGAGTGCTCGAGTAGAGGCCGCCACATTCACCTCATCTCGGAGTTACCAGGGGAAAGGCCAACCTGAAGAAAGGGCTCCTCAGACCAGCCCTGGTGATGATGGAGTCTTGGCTGTGTTGGGCACAAACCTGGCTGGCTGAGGTCCAGACCTCCCAAGGTGACCTGGGACCTCCATGTCCTTTCAGCTATCTGCCTCCTGGAAGGAAACATCCAGGTGGGGAGAACAGGCAGCAACAAGTAAGTCCTGGAGGAGACAGCCTCTCAGCCCCCCCACCCCCCTTGCTGTTCCAATTTTGTGAAAAAGGGTCCTGGAAGCAGCAAGGGTTGTCAGTCTCAGGGAGCAAGTCACACGCATTCCCGAACTTGCTGCCATCCTGGGTCATGGGACTTGAGGACACTATCCCTTGCCCAGTCCCAACCTTTTATACTTAATCCCCAGGCCAGGGTCCCCAAAGGAGTGAGTAAGTTGTGAAACACCAGGGCAGAGGATGGGAGTTAAGTGACTCGGGGGATACAGATGCTCCTTTCAGAAAGCCATAACCAGGCTTGTCCCTACTCACCACTCTCCTGCTCAAGTCTGGCTCCTGCCTGCTCACGCCATGTTCTTAGAACCAACCAGGCCCAACCAAAGTCCTTAACTTCTCACTTGAGGCCCTAACTTGGTTTCAGGCGCCTCCCATGTCTCACCGCCCATGTGATGGGGCCTTTGGACAGTGGATGCCAGCACACAGCCCCTGCTACATCCAGTGAGTGCCAGCATCAGGGAGTGGGGGAACAGATCTGTGCCTCAGGGAGACCAAGACACGGGAGTGGGCCTTTTCCAGGAGCCCCTATTACAGCGAGGGAAGATTAAAAACCCAACATCTAAGTGGTTCTTGGACTACTTGGTTCTTGGGCCCCTTTTCACACGTAGGGAGTCTTGGGGATCCTTCCCCTTACCTGGCTGGTCTTTGTCTCAGTGTGTTCAGGAACGGGGACCTGCTAAGCCCCCCCTTTAGTCTGAAGCTGTCCCAAACTGCCATCCAGGACTGGGAAACAGTCCTGAAGCTGCTGACTGAGAAGGCCGAGTTACAGAGCGGGCCTGTTCACCAGTAAGTATGAGAACCAGGGAGAACGGGCACCCCTGAGGGACCCCACTGCTTCTGCCTGCTCCTGGGGCCAAGGGAAGGCAGGTTCTCTTCAGCAGGACTTCTGTGTCCCAGTGGAGGGGCTCCCTAACCTAGGCCTCCTAGTCAGGGCAGAGCCTAGGTGAACTGTTGCCCAGAGGACCAGTCAGAAGGCCCTGTGATGGAACTCAGGACAGGAAGCAGCTCTTACCCACCAGCCCTTATTACCTCTCCCCCAGACTCTGCACCCTCGAGGGGCTCCCACTGTCCACAGGGACTGCTCTGGTGAGTGGCCGTTACTATGTGGCTGTTGGAGAAGAAGAGTTCAAGGCCCTCCCCTATATGGAGCTGCTGGTGCCCAGCCCTTCTCTGTGTGGGGGCTGCTGGTATGTTTGAGGTGGAGGGTCAGAGGTCACAGCGGAGGAAGTGTCCCCTGGTCTGGGAGCTATGACGGTTCTCCTCTACCCACTACAAACCTTCCTTTTGCTGCAGGTGTCCTCCAGGCTTGAAGTATAAATCCCACAGGCAGGGGGTAGGTGACAGTGGGAATACCTGCATGGGAGGAGAGGAGTGGCAGAGGACTCCAGCCTTACCCCATCATCTGCTGAATCTGGTAAAGCTGTGATTCCTTCCCCCTTTCTTGGGGTGGGAGCTGAAGTTCACAAGGATACATTCATTCAGGGTGACAGAGAGTAGCACGGGCCATGCCAAATGCCTCACTAGGTTGGATGTTGGAACTGGCTACTTGGCATAGCAAGGTCCCTTCACTCACCATCCCATTCCAGGTGAGCCGGTGACCATGCGGCACCAGAGGAGAAAGCAGCCTGGATTCACTGGGCAGCTTTGAATGCCAGTGTCGGCTGCACTATTCCTGGAGAGATGGCCGATAGGAACAAAGGCAGGAAGGGAAGATGCAGATTAAGATGGGCACACAGCCTCTCCCAAGGCAGCAGGGCGCACTCAAGCATGATTGGGGAGCAGGAGAGGTGAGAACAGTCAACATATGGGGTTCTAACACAGTCCTTTCTGTAGGCCCAGGGCCACAGGGGCCAGGCAGCCCAGCCCTCTTCAAAGGAACCCAGGGAAACTGAGCCATCCACTTTCTATGCCAGATCACAGCAGCCCATTCAGCCAGGAAGCAAGCTCTCTACTCTCTCGTTTGCATCAGGTGAGGAGGCCCCAGGCCTGGCCCTTCTCATCCCTACCCCCTGCTTGCTTACACATGCTATGAGAGCAGGAACTCAGATCAGTTATCCTCTGATATGACAGGGTGGTCCTTGCTGCTGTTGGGGGATGTATGTCCCCTCCTCTACCTGCATCGCCCTTGCTGCTGCTTCTTTTTTAAAAGATGTATTTATTATTTATACAGTATTCTGCCTGCATATATGCCTACATGCCAGAAGAGGGCACCAGATCTCATTATATCATGGTTGGGAGCCACCATGTGTGTGCTGGGAATTGAACTCAGGACGTCTGGAAGAACAGCCAGTGCTTTTAACCTCTGAGCCATTTCCCCAGCCCTGCTCTTGCTTCTTTTACTTCCTTCCGTATTCGTTATTGTGTGTGCATGATGTATGTGCATGAGCATGTGAATGCCATGGCCCATCATGTAGCGGCCAGAGGACAGCTCTGTAGACTCAGTTGTTTCCGCCCGCCTTTGCGTGGTTTCAGAGCATTGAGCACGGGTCAGGCTCACACAGCACACATGAGCTACCCTTCTGCCCAAGTCCCTTGCTTCTTTCATAGGGACTTATCTGAAAAGTAAGCAGAAAAGGCAATGCTTAAAGCCATGAAGCCTCAGAGGTGCGAGTTTCATTTGGGAGCCACAGGCTGGCCTCTAGCTTCCCGCCACCCTCTGAGGCATTGGAGAATGTGGGACAAGGCTCAGGGGAAGGAACTGGTGTAGCCGGTGAAGGCACAGAGGCAGAAGACCCTTCAGCCTGGGCAGCCAGTGTTGCCTCCTTACTAGGAGTTAAGGGGGTGTATGGGGCGCCACACCCAAGGAAGGAGACCGCAGGCGCCCAGGAAGTGGATGAGGATGAAAACACCCGCATGGAGGAGCCTGTGGATCAGGTAAGCCCATCACGCCGGCAAGTGTTACGCTTAGATGGGCAGGTCTGACCTAAAGTCTGAGCTCCACGGCGCATCTTCCCAGTGACTTCCCAGGACACCTAAGTCTGAAAGCCTGGCTTCCTGTTTTCCTTGTGAGGTGTTCTAATTTCCAGTAGGCTCCTTTCCTGGGTGGGGGACCTCTGGCAGTCCACGCCAACAGGGCATTACACATAGCGCTGTACATCTCTACACGTCCACCAGAGGGCAGCAGAGTCGGTGGAAGAGGCCTTGTCCTTGCAACACCAGCCTGAGCCTGGAGCAGTAACCTCAGCCTCCGCCCAAGCGCCACCATCTTAAGAGCCAGGAGCTCCAGACAGAAACTGGAGACAACCACTCCAAGCCACCTCTAGCCCCAGCTCTCAGCAGCCTGGTCCTGGGAAGCCATGCCTGGTTGGGCTCACAGTTAACGTGATCCTGCCTGAGAAAGCACTGTCTACTATGTTCAGGAACAGGCCGTGGCACAATAAAACGGCTTCACTAAGCTTTGTTTGCAGCAGGTTTATTGAGAGCTGCTGCTGGCCAGGTGCTTGCTGCAGCCAGGTGCTGATCAGCATGCAGCTGTGTATTTGCTTGCATTTTTGCCCAGAGCTGGTTAGTTCACTTTTCTTCCACCTGTCGGATGTAACCCCTCTCCCTGAATTCCACCATCAGCCAGCCAAGGCACTGTAACGGAGCTTTGGAGTCTGCCAGACATTCCTGGTTCAGAGACTGCAGCCAGCCCTTTCCATGTGGCTGAGGCTCTGCAGATTCCGTAGTCTAGAGCAGGCCAGCAGGTCAGGTGATAGAGGCCAGGTAACAGCTGCCTGAGTTGGCAGCAGGAAGACAAGATGGCTGCTGGGGCAGAGGCTGTTAAGGGTGTGTGTAGTCTCCAGTGCTAGCCCCCTTTTTTCCTTTGGTTTTCCTTTGGCTACACAGGGTTTCTGTGTAGCCTTGGCTGTCCTGGAACTCACTCTATAGCCCAGGCTGGCCTTGAACTCAGAGATCCACCTGCCTCTGCCTCCCAAGTGCTGGGATTAAGGGCATGGGCCACTATGGCCAGCTAAATCTCAACAGCTGAACCCACCCAAGATTACACAACCTTCCCAGAGTTATTGCTTTGTTTGCTTGCTTGCTTGCTTTTTTGAGGCAGGGCTCTTCTGTGTAGCCTTGGTTGTCCTGAACTCTGGACAGTGCTGTTCACCCCTGAGGTAGATGTGGTCCAGGAGAGGAGACAGTTAAGCCAATGTCTCACTCTACCTGTACCTCAGTGCGCAGAGTCAGCCGAGCACGGCAGAGATGCAGGACAGGTTGGCCTGCTCAAGAGGCCGACAGTTGGCCCTGGGTCTTGGTCACCGAGCTTGTGATGCAAAGCGTGATCCCTGTGATGGTGAGCACCATGCCGGCCACTGCTTCTGAGATAAAGAAAAACGGCAAGGGGCTGGGGTCAGCAGGGCTAAGGAAAGAGTGACGGTGCCTGATCCCCACCCCAGCCTCTGTCCCCAGATTACCCAGAATCAGGTGGTGGAGGAGGGAGATAGGGGAGATTTGTCACAGAGCAAAGGGCAACCTCTCCTCTCCCACCCATGGGAGACAAGCTCACACATGCAGCCATCCCCACGTGCAGCTTACGTTTTCCACCAATATCTTCTCCGAGGATCCTCCCAACAATCATTGTGAAGACGATGGCCAGAGAGTTACAGATGGGCACAGCTAAAGTCAGATCTGGGCAGTCAGAACAAGAAAAATCCCTAGATGCAGGGACTGCTTTCTAGGGACAGAATATTTGCAACACCCCCTCCTCCCTCTTCTCTCCTCATCACCATCGGTACTTTTTTTATGTTTTTAATGTGCACTGGTATTTTGCCTGCAAGTATGTCTGTGTGGGGGTGTCAGATCTTGGAGTTACAGACAGTTGGGGGCTGCCATGTGGGTGCCAGGTCCTCTGGAGGAGTAGTCAGTGCTCTTAACCACTGAGCCATCTCCCCAGCCCCACCAACACCACATTTACAAAAGGAGCACAAGACAGTCAAGGTGACACAAGTTTTTAATTCAATCACCTTGGAAGCAGAGGCAGGCAGATCTCTGTGAGTTCAAGGCCAGCCTGGGGCTAAATAGTAAGATCCTATCTCATGAATGAATGAATGAATAAATAAATAAACAAACAAACAAACAAACAAACACCTATCACGAGGCAGACGTTGGGGAACAAACCTGTAATCCTAGTCATCAGGAGATTGAGACAGGAAGATCCCAAGTTTGAGGTCAGCCTGGGCCATATAGCAAGACTATTAAAAAGGGGAGATGGGCAGCCAGTTGGTGGTGCATGCCTTTAATTCCAGCACTCAAGAGGCAGAGGCAGGCAGATCTCTGTGAGTTTGAGGCCAGCCTGGTCTACAGAGAGAGAGTTCTAGGACAGCTAGGGCTACAGAGAAACCCTGTCTTGGAGGGGGGAGGAAGGGAGGAGGTGGGGAAATGGACACTGTGGGGAGATGCTCACTAAAACGCCTGCATGAGAGCATGGAGATCTGAGTTCAGGCTGCTCCAGCACCCATGTAAAGGCTGGGCAAGGTAGCATGTATCTGTAAGCTAAGTGTTGGGACATGGGGGTGGCAGAGGTGGGGGGAGCCCTAGGGCAGCTGGCCAGCCAGGATAGACACCAGTGGGCTCTGGGATCACTCCCAGACCCTGTCTCCAACACTAACTCGGAGTGTAATTCAGAAAGACACCCAACATCGACCTCTAGCTCCCACATGTACGTGCACAAATGAACATGCACTCAGGCACACGGCACACACACACACACACACACACACACACACACACACACACACACGATTACACAACAACAGGCCAAGTAAGCAGCATGTGCACAGTCGTACTTCCAGCACACAGGAGGCAGAGGCAGGAAGACTGCTTCAAGTTCAAGGACACCCTGGTCTACATACTGAATGCTATCCAGGCCAGCAAGGGTTACAAGGAAGGCTGCTTCCGAGAAACAACATAGAGAATGAGCTCATTTCCACAGAAGTGATTCAAGGCTCAGGGCTGAGGTCCAGATCTCCTGCCTCCAAGTTCAGTGCTTCCTCAGGCCTCTGGAATGGATATCTGACCTCTGAGAGCGACCAGCTTAGTTGCTTCTTCCTTCCTTTCAAGATTTATGTGTGTGTGAGTGTTTTTGCTTTTATGCCTGTGTTGTACATTGGGAAGTCAGAAGAGAATGTCAGAACCTTCTGGAACAGTGTGAGTCATCATGTGGTACTAGGAGTTGAACTGGGGTCCTCTGTAAGGACAAGTTCTCTTAACCACTGAGCCATCTCTCCAGCCTGGTTAGATAACATAAATGAGATCTTACTAAATGTGGTAGCTCACATTTGTATTCCCAGCTCTTAGGAGGCTAAGACAGGAAGACAAGCAGGAGTTCAAGGCCAACCTGGGTTACATCTGAATTCCAGCCTTGGCTATAGAGTGAGATCATTTAAAAAACTAAGAGCAGGCATGATGGCTCACACCTTTTTTTTTCTTTAATATTTATTTATTATGTATACAATGTTCTGCCTGCAAGCAAGAAGAGGGCACCAGATCATAGATGGTAATGAGCCACCATGTGGTTGCTGGGAACGAAACTCAGGACCTTTGGAAGAACAGACAGTGCTCTTAACCCCTGAGCCATCTCTCCAGCCCCCTATGGCTCACACCTTTAATCCCAGAAGGCAGAGCATGTGGATCTCATGAATGTGAGTCCAGCCTGGTCCACACAGCAAATTCCTGGACAGCCAAGACTGCATGGAGAAACCTCACCTTAAACAAACAAACTCAAGAATGAGGTCTTTACACTCAGAGGCAACGGAGATTTCATGGGGACAGGCAGGCACCAAAGCGTACAGCAACACAAGTCTGAGCACAGGGCTCATCTGCGGTTCGGCACTCCCTGGGTGCTCTGTGCCCTGCACGGCATTTTCACAGCCCTGCAGAAGCATTGTGATCTTTGCTGTACAGGAAACACACTAAAGCCATATACTTAAGGTTTTTCCTTTTTGAGAAAGGCTAGAGAGATGGGTGAGATGGCTCAGTGGGTAAGGATGCCTGCTACCGAGCCTAACAACCTGACTTTGACCTATAGGACCCACATGGAGAGAGCCATTTGCCAAAAGCTGTTCTATGACCTATGACCTCAACATGTGCACAGGAACACAAACGCCTACACACACATAATGAGTAAATTTTTAACAATCATAAGGGTCCAGAGAGATGGAGGGGAGGTTAAGAGCTCACCCAGCACCCACATGTCAGGTCACAGCTCTCTCTAACTCCAGTTCTACAAGACCTGAAGACCTCTTTCACCTCTGTGAGCACAAACAGGACATGGTACACACATATCTATGCATGCAAAAATACTCACATATATAAAATAGTCAAAATTTTTTTACAAATGCAATTTGCTCAGATCTTCTTTTTTCTTGAGGCAAGTTTCTCATGTAGACCAAGCTAACCTCAAACTTCCTATGTAGCTGCCACTGACTTTGAACTCCTGACCCTCATTTTTATATTTCCTAACTACTGGGATTACTTGTATGTACCACAATGCCTGGCTTTTCTAATTTTAACAAACACTCTGTATTTGAGCCCTAAAACTGAAAGCTAAAAGCTTCATAAACAAGCATGGCGACAGTGGTGCGCACCTTTAATCCCAGAGGCAGATCTCTGAGTTCCAGGACAGCCAGGGCTTCACAGAGGAACTGTGTCAGAATACCAAAAAATAAATAAAAAGTAAAAACTTCATAAATAGCCAGATGCAGCTAAGGGACAGTAAGTTCCAAAATCCTCCCCGCAGAAGCTACATTAGGCCAGAGATGTTGAGAAACACCAACCACACATGTGGAGCGCAGAGGACAGCTTGCAGGAATGGGTTCACTCCTCTGACCTTTTATGTTCCAGACATCAAAGTCTGGTCATCAGGCTTAGTGGTGGGCGCCTCTCCTGTGGAGCCCTCTCCCTCTGTTTTTGTAAGACAGGCTCTCAAGTATTCCTGGCTGCTCCTACTGAACTTGCTAGTAGCCAGGAGGACCCTAAACTTGGGATCCTCCTGGGCCCACTTCCTAAGCACTAGAACTACAGCTAATAACCACCCCGAGGGTTTATTGGGAGCTGGGGCAGAGCCCAGGGCCTCATGCATGCTGGGTTAGGACTCTACCAAATGAGCTGCACCCCAGCCCAGTAATTAAAGCCTTACGAATACTGACTCTCTCTACTTGAATCTCAAGTATGAGATCTGGAGGCCATCTTACCAGGTCCTTTCCTCCTCTTGCGGCAATTGACTCAGGGTAGACAAAACCACAGCTAGGAGACTTTTGCAGAAGTTCAAAGGCAAAAACGTGGGGGTGGGGCAGAGTTTCTTGTTGGTTTTTCGAGACAGGTTGGCTTAGAACTCACTAAACCTCTGTGAGCTTGTGGCTCTCTTCCTGCCTCAGCCTCGGGCTGCTGGGGTTACAGACATGAGCTACCATGTCCAGCATATAACCATTAATATGAAGCTTTAAATCCCTTTGCACTAACATGCTGTTGGGCTTAAGGCAAGCATGGTAAATTGTCCAGTGTTATAACTTCTCCTCAATGAAGATAAACATGCTTGTTTCAGAAGGTCATGATATAAATAAAAACGTAATCTAATGTAGTAGGAACAGTCAACAAACATTTGAAGAAAGGATATTTATATTTATTGAGCCTCTACTATATGTCACGTACTTGGCAAGATTCTTCTCATACGTTGAATTAACCTTCACAATGCTATGAAGCCCGCTATATAAAACCAAGATTCAAATAAGGCACTCACTCCAGACTGAGCAGGTAGTGTAGCATCACCCACATGGGTGTCTGGTGAACATCCATCATCCTAGCACTTGGAAGACAGAGGCACGAGAATCATGATTTGGAAGCCATCCTGAGTTAGGGCGATTGTCTCAAAAATGACAAACAAGGGGCCAGTGAGACTTCAGTGGGTAAAGGCACTTGTCATCAAGATGATCTGAGTTCAGCATCTACATGGTGACAGGAGAGAACCTACCCTGAAAACTTGTTCTCTAACCACACACACACACACACACACACACACACACACACACACACACACACAAAATAAATAAATATAATAAAAAATTAAAACTGCTGGGTAGTGGTAGTGCATACCTTTAATGCCAGCACTTAGGAGGCAGAGGCAGGTGGATCGCTATGAGTTTGAGGCCAGCCTGGTCTACAAAGGAAGTACAGGACAGCCAGGGCTACACATAGAAACCCTGCCTCAAAAAACCAACCTATCTCCCCCCAAATTTTTGCACTATCAAAGAAAAATTACCACCAAAAAAAAAAAAAAAAACCCTCCTCCCAAAATAAATAAGACAAGTCTTGACTTAACGACAGCAACATGAGCCTCCCTTGGCTGCTACAGGCCAGCCGCAGTGCCTACCACACACGCATACCTCTGTGGCTCAGAGAAGGACCAGAAACAAGCGCTCTCCCTCACTGACAGGTCCAAGTATTTCAGGTTCTCTTTGGGAAAAAATGGCCCCCCATCCCAGAGGGGGTCCAAGCCAGAGACCTACCTGCTGAGGCCAAGGTCAAGTAGTAGACAAGGGAGCCACTCTGATTGAGGAGAAAGGGCATCAGGTACTGGAAAAGGAGAGCGCTGTCAGTGACTGCCTACATATGCACTGTGCTGTGTTCTTCGAGCACAGCGGTTCTCAACCTTCCTAACGCTGCGACCCTTTTGTACAGTTCCTCATGTTGTGGTGACTCCCAACCTTAAACTTATTTTCATTGCTACTTCATAACTAATTTTGCTACTATTATGAATTGTAATGTAAAAATCTGATGTGCAGGATATCTGATATTGACCCCTTTTGGGCTCACAACTCAGTTTTGTAGTTTTGTAGTGTAGGCTTTCCCCCAGTGGGGAAGGATGGTTATAAATGCCCAGGGAACGCTAATGTATTTGAAGACCCTTTAGAGCAAAGAGTAAAACACATTCAATGTACGCTATGGGCCAAAATGTCCTATCCCTTATCGTCATGGCCAGTTTCTATCTTCCCCACAGGTAAAAGGCCTTCAGTGCCAGTGGCACCCCTTCCAAGAAGCCCACTCCAAGTCCTCCAGCTCCATCTCTCTCCTCTGAGTTCACACTGCTCTTCATCCGTATGTCCCTCCTTCCCCTTGTCTCTGAGAGGGCTGCATATCTAGCTAGCTTACATCGGCAGCCACGGGTTGCAGGCAGTTTTCGATAGCCTTAATGCTCTACCCTAGGGCAAGCTGGGCCCAAAGGAAGCTTCTGAAAAGGTTCACAACAGTTATATAATTGATAGGGTGACATTAATAACAGTCAGAGAGCCGGGCGGTGGAGGCGCACGCCCTTAGTCCTAGCATTAGGGTGGCGGATGCAAGCGGATCTCTTGAGTTCGAGGCTAGCCTGGTCTACAGAGCGAGTTCCAGGATAGCCAGGGCTACACAGAGAAACCCTACCTACAAAAAGAATTTAAATAGCAGTCATAGACTGAACATATATGCTGTACTAGGCCGAATGCTAGTGTTTTACGTATCTTACCTCAATTCTTATATCAGCACTAAACATAAGTTATCATTAAAATTTCCATTTTACCGATGATGAGCCTGAGGCTCACGGAGGATAAATGACTCTTCCGGGAGCTTCTAGTGAGTAGGAGGTGGGCTGGGAATCTGGCCAACCAGTGACCAAACGCTCAGCGGCTCCTCCAAGGGAGCGGCGGTCCAAGACGCACCTCGGTATTCAGGAAGAGAGTCTTCATCTCCTGCAACAGCTGCCGGGCCCATGTCTGCTCCTGCACCTGCTGCAGGCCGGAGGAGGCACGCTTCAGCAGCGGCTGCGTGCCACCCCACAGTGCGGCCACCAGCACCAGGGCAAGCACCTGCCCTGAAAGCAAAGGGTCAGAGGGTCACCCAGGCCCTCTCCGGCATCCTCCAGCCGGGTTGGCCGTCTCCATCTCCCTCCCGCGCCGAGCGCCCCGCTGCGATAGCCGGGAGGACCCGACCCCGAAGCCGGCGGAAGTTGAGTCCGAAGGACCAGGGTCCAGGGCTTACTAGCCCGAAGCTTCAGAGGTAGCAGGGGAGTGAGAAAATTTGCCATAGCCAAAGAAGGAGCCCTTGGAGGGGCGGGGCCAGCTACCCACCCAGGGAAGCCGCCATGGAAACGTCAGGCCCTTCTACTTCCGGGAGCGAGGGGGCGGAGTCCCTCCATCCGGAAGTCACTTCTAGTCTTCTTCCGGTCCTACTCACATTGCCTCTCTCCTCGCGTCACCACCAGGATGGTGAGTTCCAGGCGCGGGGTGCCGCGGTCTTGGGGTCCTAGTCAGCATGGGACGAGGTTCCCGGCACTGACACTCCGGTTCTGTCCCCACAGAAGCCGATCCTGCTGCAGGGCCATGAGCGGTCCATCACGCAGATCAAGTACAACCGCGAAGGAGACCTCCTCTTCACTGTGGCCAAAGACCCTGTGAGCAACCGCGCGAGGGAGGGACGGCGGGCGGGCGGGACAGCCGGAGGGGCGAGTTCGCGCCGCCGGGGTGGTGGGTGAATAAGCTTTGCCACCTGAGGGCATCTCCTCTAAAAAGCAAGGACAACCACCCAAACTGGGCTAGGTTAGCGACAGCATCCTGCCAGGGACACCTGGAAGAAGTTGGTGGTTGGAAAGAAAGAGGACCCAGGGAGAAGATAAATAAGAGACTGTGTGAAAGTGGGAGTGGGGACAAGGACAGGGCCAGCTCTAATAACTCTGAGGATGGGAAGAACCAGAACCGACAACCTAGAAGATAAAATTGGTCCATGGCAGTGAGCAGTGTCATTACGGGGGCTTGGGGTTGTAGTTCAGATTAACATGCACCCAGCCCTATGTTGGATCCCTAGCACCGTAAAGCAAAAAGGGGGAAGGAGGAAAAGGACATGGGATTTAGGCTGCCTAGCTTGGTCTTTTCAACCCCACATTGATACTTGGTGCACAGCCCCTTTGGGTGCTGCCTTTGAAGCATTTGCACCCGGAGGCAGTAAACTGATGGTTAACGGTGGGGAGTCTGAAGTCTCCTGCATCTGCTAGTGGTGTGACTTTGAACAGACATTTAGCTTTTTGTTTTTTTGGGGACAGATTTTTTTCTGCATAGCCTTGGCTCTCCTAAACTCTTTTTGTAGACCAGTTTGGCCTCGAACTCACAGAGATCCACCTGCCTCTGCCTCCCAAGTGCTGGGATTACAGGTGTGTGCCACCGCTCCCTGCTGACATTTAACTTTCTAAACTACAATTTTCCCTTTTAATAAAACGTGGACAGTTTAAGTACCTCCGTCAATAAAGTGAAGTCATTCTTGTAAATAGCTCCTCAATATACATGGCGTGAGTCACTTACATTTTAAGTTTCATAGACATTTTACTGGAGCTTCACAGCTGCCCTTTGAAGAAAGCTGTTGGTGGGGATGAGGTATATTTCCAAGCTGTCCTTCACCTCTCCATCCTCCTGCCTCAGCCTCCTGGTCCTGGGAATAGAAGTGTGTGCTACATACACACAGCTTGTCCCAGTCTTTTAAAATATATATTTTAAAATTATATGTATAGTGATCTGCCTCCATGTGTGCCTGCAGGCCAGAAGAGGGCACCGGCTCTCATTACAGATGCTACAGGTGGTTGTGAGCCATCATGTGGTTGCTGGGAACTGAACTCAGGACCCCTGAAAGAGCAGCCAGTGCTCTTAACCTCTGAGCTATCTCCCCAGCCCCCTGTCCTAGCCTTTTAAAGGGAAGAAGCGCTGTATTTAAGATCACATGGTGGGCTAGTGATGAAGCACTGGAGCCAGTACGTCTGTACTACCATCTATTCCAAATTGGACAGGATATGGAAGGTGGACCTCGGCTTAGCCTTTGTTCTTCAGAGGGATGCTGCGTCTAGACAAAAGCAGATGATGAGGACCTTCTGAAGGCCTGGCCTTGCTGCTGTTTCCTAAGGAAGGGAGAAGAACCCAGGAGCTGGTCTTTTAAATCACCTTTCCACCAATAAATGAGCAGAAGGCAGAGTTGGCTTGGCCGGAGTCTACAGAGGGCTTATAAGGGCAAAGTAAGCTATTGCTTTTTCGAGGATGTAACGCGTCCTGTCATTTCACTCTTCCAGATCGTCAATGTGTGGTACTCTGTGAATGGCGAGAGGCTAGGCACCTACATGGGCCACACTGGAGCTGTGTGGTGTGTGGACGCGGACTGTATCCTCTTTGCGGTGGGTGGGCCAACCTTGGAGATGCTGGCTTGGAGGATGGAAGTTTGACCTGCTAGAATGGTCTAGAGAATAACACTCTCTACTGCCAGTTGGATCATCTGTTGGGGAAACAGGAAAGGTCGAGTTTTGGAACACTGAGGTAAAAGGGAGAAAAGTCTTTGGTACTGAACTAGGAGATGCTTTGATGGCTTCCAAGAGGACATGGACGCAGGCGGACTTAGTCATTTTCTTTTGTATGTGTGTATTTATGGCTGGGTGATGAATCTGGTCAGCATCAGGTTGTCTTCAATCATTCTTCAACTTTTTCTTTATTTCCTAAAGATTTAGTTTTCTAGCTAGTCGGTGTTGGCACATGCTTTTAATCCTAGTGCTCAGGAGGCAGAGGTAGATAAATCTCTGAGTTTGAGGCCAGCCTGGTCTACAGAGTGAGTTCCAGGGCAGCCAGGGCTACACAGAGAAATCCTATCTCAAAGAACCAAGGGGAAAAAAAGATTTAGTTTTATGTTTGGGTGTTTTGCCTACACGTGTGTCTGTTTACCATGTGTGTTCGGTGCGAGCGGAAGGCATCCAGAACAGGAGTTACAGATGGCTGTTAGCCACCAAGTGGGTGCTGGGATTCTTCCCTGGGTCTTCTAGTAGCCAATGCTACAAACCTCTGAGCCCTCCCTGACTGCCCTGGAACTCACTGTGTAGACTTCAAACTCAGAGATTCACCTGCCTCTGAAGTACTGGGATTAAAGGTATGTGTTGCTACCGCCTGACTCCAATTTTTTGTTTGTTTGTTTGTTTGTTTTGAGATGAAAACTAAAAATAACCTTTTCTTGAGTCTGGAGCTCACTGATTAGCTAGAGTTGGCCGGTCAGTCCCTGGACTTCCTGTCTTCATCTCAGCACTGTAACTGCAGGCACACCTGAGTCTTTTGTGGGTGCTGGGGATCCCAGTTGAGGTCCTCATATTGCACTTCAAGCACTTTACCCACTGAGCTATCTCCCCAGCCCTTGTCATTTTTATTTTATTCTGTGTGTAGAATTTATTTGCCTGCATGCATGCATGTATGTGGGCCTAGTACCCTTGGATGCCATAAGAGGGCAGTGGATCCCCTGGAACTGGAGTTGTGAGCTACCACATAGGTGCTGGAATTTAACCCAGGTCCTCTACAAGAATAGCCAGTGCTCTTTTTGAAACCTTTTTTTTTTTTTAATTTTATTTATTTATTATGTATACAATAGCTGCATGTATACCTTCATATCAGAACAGGGCACCAGATCTCACTATAGATGGTTGTGAGCTATCATGTGGTTCCTGGGAATTGAACTCAGGACCTCTGGAAGAGTAGACAGTGCTCTTAAATCTGAGCCATCGCTCCACCCCCTAACCAGTGCTCTTTAGCACTGAACCATTTCTTCAACCCTAGTCATGTTTCTTAACACCTTCTTCAGGGGACACCAAACATGTCCTTACTGGTTCAGCTGACAACAGCTGTCGTCTCTGGGACTGTGAAACAGGTAAGCCTGGGTCATTTGCTTTTTCAGGAAAAAAAAAAAAAAGTTCTGTAAAACTTGAGTTTGAGCAGGGAAGAATAGTGGACTGGTGGGTTTGAACAAGATCCAAGCAGTAGAAGCTGTGACAATGAAGAGAGAGGAGGTCATTATTCTTGCTCCTGAGTGATTGCTGTGCATCTGCTTCTATGTTGGGGCATTCAGGAGAAATGGACTCTGCACAGGAGACCTGTCTTGGAACCTGCCATGCATAGGGCCACCTTAGCAGAATTCATGAAGTGCTAGAGGAAGGGGCTAGAAAGGCAGCTAGAGACCAGCAGTGGGGAGGAGAGTGGTGGCCTGAGGCCATCAGGGAAGAAACACTGTGAGACTTGATGACTGTGACGGATCTTCCCTGTGATAATATTAGACAAGAGTAACCTGGACTCTGCCCGTCTCCAGGGAAGCAGCTGGCTCTTCTCAAGACCAACTCAGCCGTCCGGACGTGTGGCTTTGACTTCGGAGGCAACATCATCATGTTCTCCACCGACAAGCAGATGGGGTACCAGTGTTTCGTGAGCTTCTTTGATCTTCGGGATCGGAGCCAGATCGGTGAGGGCAGGACCAGCGAGGGCTGAGGGGGAGGGGGAGGCTTCGGAGCCCAGGGCTTGACCTCTGCTCTGTGTACAGACACCAATGAGCCCTACATGAAGATCCCCTGCAATGATTCCAAGATCACCAGTGCCGTTTGGGGGCCCTTGGGGGAGTGCATCATCGCAGGCCATGAGAGTGGAGAGCTCAACCAGTATAGTGCCAAGGTAAGGGGCCAAGTGTTACCAGGTGATATTAGGTATTGAGAAGTGTGTCGCCTAGTACTCAGGGCATGTTATGGTAGTCACAAATAAGCATTTTCCTGCCCCTAGGGAGTAGTAGACGCTATGTGAGGTTCCTAGGCAAACAATGAGAATCAGACATCAGCTTAAAAACAGTCAGTACATGAGTCAGGCTGAGTCTATGCCACAGAAAGATTTCAGCTAAATCCGAGTGTACTCTGTCCCTGAGGAGATGCCAGGTACATGGAGTCATGGAAAATAAGTACAACTCCCAGAGGCTGGAGAAAACGGCTCAGTGATTAGCAGCACTGGCTATTCCAGCACCCACCCCCAGCAGTCCTTAACTCCTTCCAGGACTACTTCTGATACCTTCTGGCTCCTTGAACACCAGGCACATACATACACATATACACACAAACACAGACACACATACGAGTGGGAGACAGGCAAAATACTTAAACACATAAAATAAAAATGAATAAATCCTAAAAGGAAAGAGATCTTCCTGCAGGAAAGATGGGGAAAAGGAAGAGCGGAAGTGCAGATTTGGGAATGTGGCCGGGGGAAGAATGCTTGCTAGCATGTATAAGGCCAGGAGTTCCGTCCCCAATAGTAGGGAGTACGGATCTAGCCAATGAATGCAGTCCTCTGGGAAGTGCAGTGGATTAA